CTCAGTTAAACTCCTTCTTGTGTGGACACAGATGTCTAGATTTTGTCAAATAAGTTGCTCGTTAACTAAAACAAAGGAATGTGGATCTCAACGTGATTAACAACTCATAAGCTACAGAAATGTGACACATTTATACCAGCTAAGTGTCTCCAACCCCTCATTTCAACCTTTTGTTTAAGGGATTGTTTTTTAAAGCCAATAATATGGTGATTGTCTTGAATCAACAAGTCTTTACTGTTGACAAAATCGATGATGAAATACTAAATAAAATGCAATACTACTCTCATTTTAAGGGTCTAGAAAATGATTTGTTGGCTATTTTTCTACTGTTGCAACTGTTTTACTAAATTTTCGGGCACTCCAGGTAAGTGTTCATTTAAAGAAGTGCATGGTCCGCCTTGTCTTTGCATGTAAATCAGTAAAATGAGCCATTTGTGCTTATAACGGCTCAGGCGCCTTCAGTTTGAGCCATTAATCCTGGCTCTGTGATGTTTATGTAAGAAATTCTTACACTCAGGTTTGTGAGATCTCCTACATCACAGTTCTGTACAGCTGGTGTCCCCATGCTAACCTAGTTTCACTATTCTTAGAGACTGGACCCTGAGAGCCATCTGCAGCTTCTGTAGCTGTGAAAGTGGATCATGGTGGAGGATCCCCGTCAGAGTGGCAGGCAGTCAGTCGAGGAGCCCGGATCTATTTATAACCAACGCCTGCTGCTCGTCACTTAACACGAGGAAGTCCTGATAATGCAGGCCTGGAGTCGGGCTCTGACGGGATCAGGTTTCTGTCACTTTCTAGGTCTGACGGCTCTGATGGCAGATGAGACATCAGAGCCACGAAGAGAAGAACTGAAATCAAGCTCACATTTCCAGTATTAACAGTGCTCATGGTTTGTTGTGTTTCTGATACCGACTGTCAGATCTGCACAGTGATCTGAATTCATTTCAATTACCTGTTTATGTAAGTATTCACACTGACAACACCATGATTCAAGTCCCCCTATTTTTAACTGCTGAGTAGTACATGAACATTTATAAGATACTATAATACAGCCGCATGCAGCTATGAGGACATTTGCAGTTAATTCAGAACAGAATCCATAGAACCATAATCCAACCATTGCACTTTACACCACTCTTTAGTATTGATTTATTTTTGAATTAAACAAAATTAGCATTTTTGCCCTTCAATCTAGAACGTATATAGT